TTTACTAATAACTAAGACAATATACATATGTGTTTCATTTAATAAACTAACACTAAATAAGCAGTTTCTTTCACTTGTATAAATTATGTACAAAATCGTTGATAACATATCAATTAAAATCAATTTAATAAAGCTATTATTCCAATACTATTTTATATTGAAATTTATTTTAATTTTATTAAACGCATTAAAATTTTGATACTAAAATATTAATTATTAAATATTTATTTTGTATCTGTATATTCTAAAATAGACATTTAACGAATCCCGCACAACTAAAATATATACAATTTATACAATTTCATTGAAACCATTTTTGCATCAGGTATTGCGGTGTCTTTTATTATTGTTAATTCATATTTCTGAATGTGATAGGTTTGCAACGTATGTTGATCATATTGGGATCCAACACATGATTCCGTCTTTGCCCGAATCTTTAAGCAGAATGCCCTATTATAATCCCAACTACAATATTATTATCGAACATTATCAAAACTATAAAGTTTTATTAAGTCCACTGATACAAACAACAGAAAGGAATGATAAAAACATGATGAAGACATATTTTTATACGTTTGTAAAGCCTATTTATCTACTATTTCTCAACCGAATTAATTTATCTTTTATGCCTGGTACAAATGAAAGTGTCAGAGTTAATATGTGGTGTAGAATGCACTGCGAATTTGCACATCAATTTGCTGAAAATATAACAACGTACATGTTCGATAAATGGAAACGTTTGAATCAAACTTGGGAAATAAATCATATTGCACTTCCGGATTTTCAAAACGAAAGCATTATAAATTTGGGACTTATTCTTTACAGGTAACTATATAATTAGAAAAAATTTACATATCTTTCTCTATTTTTAAAATATTATTTGAATATATTTTAAAAAATAAGTTATATTGTATGAAGCACAATGAGAGGAGAAACATATCTAATCGTTTATTATTAGTCCAGTTTATTATTGCCCAGAAAGTTATTGCGATTTTTGTTATTTAATATTTGACGCTTTTTTCATGTTGTCTTTCTTTTGTATTTATATTATATCAATGTAAAAGCGCAAACTTCGCTCTACATTTTAATGAAAATAACTGTGTTTTGATATTGGTTTCCGTTTTATTTAAACTATGAAATTAAGAATGATAAAATCGCAAATTCTAGCGATTTTTTTATATAAATTCAAAATGAGGCGTAAGTAAAGCAACTGAAGGCGCTCAATATTAACGATGCATTTGGTCCAGGAACCGCTAATGAACGTACAATGCAATGGTGATTTCCGTAAATTTCAGTGGAGAGTCTTGAAGTTGAAAAGTTCTGGACGACTGCGATTATTGACGACGACCACTTGAAGGTGTTAGTTGAAACAGAGTCACGCACATCGATTCAAAAACTAGCGGAAAACTTGGCGTAAACAAGTCACCTGTTTCTGATTACTTGGAACGAACTGGAAAAACAAAAAACCTAGACAAATGAATGCCGCATCAATTGAGCGAAAATCAAAAGAATCATCACTTTGAAGTATGTTCTGCACTGATTTTGCACAAACAGAATAATCCGTCTCTTGATCGCATTGTAACGTGTGATGAAAAATGGTTCTTGTACGATAATCGTCGACGTTTTGCACAATGGTTAGACCATGATGGTGCGCCAAAACGCTCTCCGAAACTAAAATTGTATTAGAAGAAGATTATGATGACTATTTGGTAAATGTCAGCCGAGATAATTTACTATAGCTTTTTAAATTCGGGTGGAATTATTACGGGAGAGAGGTACTGTCAAGAAATTGACAAAATGCATCAGGAACTGACAAGTTTGCGTTCGGTGTTGGTCAACAGAAAAGATCCAATTGTTCTACACGACAATGCTCGACTACGCCGCACAACCGACGCTGCATTAATCAATTGAGCTATGAAGCTCCATGAAACTCTGTCTCACCCATCATATTCTCACCAACTGACTATCACTTCTTTAAACATTTCGACAATTTCTTGCAGGGGAAAATCTTTAACAATAAAGCTACTGTCAGAAACGTCTTCGAAGAGTTTGTCGCTTCTAAAAATCTAAATTTTATGCTACAGGAATAAATAAATATTGTTTCTCGTTGACAAAAATATTTAAACTTCATATCAATGGTCCTCTTTTCATTTGAAAAAGTTCACTTGCTAAAATATGCGTATTTGAACTTGAAGTTTAAAAATCACAATAACTTTCTGGACAACCTATCTTCAATGTACATCAATTTATATGAAGAATAATATTAAAATATACATATTTTATAATCTTAAAATAGAAAATTACAAATTAAAATATAAAATTGTAAATTAAATAATTATATTGAGATATAACAATAGGTATAATTATTATATTAAGGTTTTCATTCTTATCAATCAAAATTTAAAAAAGTTATATATATATATATATATATATATATATACATATATATATATATATATATATATATATATAGTGCGACACTCGCTTCCAATATATTGCATTACTTCGTAATGAGCATTTAGAAATAAAACATTAATAATAATATATAATTAATATGTTAATTAGATAGAATCATTTAATTATAAATTTGGAAATTCAATATTCTTTATGTTATTATACAACAGAAATAATCATTATATCAAACATTTTTGTATACATAATTTTCAGAGAAGCAGATATTATCTACAATGACAATGTAGATTCTGTTGCGACTAAAATCAAAGTTGCCCGCTTTATGGCTCATAAAATAATACAGGAATGTTCTTATTATGAAAATCCACTTTGGCCGTCATCCTCTTTGTTAAATGAGGCTATTGTCTCATTTCTTGGATTATATGTCACCAATCAGGTTATTTTAAGCATTCTTTAGCGCAAACTTTACTCACTAGCAAATAATATGATGGATATATATGTATGTGTGTGTGTTTGTGTGTGTGTGTGTGTGGTGTGTGTGTACATACGTGTATATATATATATATATATATATATATATATATATATATATACAGGGTGTCCTAGTATTCATGTCCTAGTATTCATGTTTCGATTATCTTACCTTAATACTTTTATGTACAAAATAATAAAAGGAATCAATTGGTGTAAAGAAAATATACAGTTGTTTTTAAGAAAAAATATGGAATTGTTAATTGCAAATTACATATTTTTTCTTAGAAATAACTATGTGTTTTCTTTATAACTCGAAAAGTACTTGATGAAAAAATACTTTATTATAGTATTTTGAAAAGCTTTCAACATAAGCTGTAAGAATATGCAATAAAAAATAAGTGGTTCCATTTAAGAAATTAAAGATGTTCTTGACCTGACCTTAACGATGCCATCCAAGATCAAACCAATGACAACATCTTATATTGCCCTCAAAACCATACAATTTTTGTCGAAAATGTTTTTCTCTAAAATGCTTAGTTTTTGAAAGAAAAGGGGTGTACTGGTGGTCTAGGACATCCTGTATATTGTTTGGAAGTGAGCAAGGTTTGCGTTAAACATATATATATATATATATATATATATATATGGTAAATATTTATCTTTACACAACCACCCTCAAATGACTCGATCTTGACATATATTGTCAAGGTTACTGCCCTGAATAACATCCAAAAAATTTTTGGCGTCGCTCGTTGTTTATTAAAAAATTATAAACAAAAGAAGTTTTATAAGGTTCACCGAATTTGGACACTATGTACAATAATAGACCTTTTATATTGAAAGTTATAAAGAAATAAACATATTAAAAAATTTTTTAATAAACAACGAGCAACGCCTAAAATCTTTTGGATATTACTCAGTGCAGTGACCCTGACAATATATGTCAAGTAATGGGGATGGCTGTGTAAAAGTAAATATTTACCATTATAAAAGTAAATATTTACCATTATAGCGTGTAATTTTTTTTATAAATCAGAATATTAAGCGCAAATTTTATATTTACAAAGTAAAGTGAATTTTTTAATAATGCTAATTTTCAAGTAAATGTTACAAACATAGATAATACAATTTAAAATATTTTTACATTTTTATGTTTCTGTTATTTTGTGTGTGTGTGTCAAAGTCACTATATTACATTTGTCCGACTTTAAATTATTATATATAAAAAAAGAAAAATTATCATTCAGATTCCACATAATATATGTATACATATAGAAATTGTGTAATAAGATAATTTAGCTATATAATATATTTTAATAATTTTAAAAATATTAATTTTAAAATTATATATCGAGTAATCATTTTTGTTATTAATATATTATATTTTTAAATTATTTATTCTATATTTTAAGAGTATAAAAGTATAAGAGATTTTTTTACATATACGTAGAAAATAACAGCTCTAATGAATATTGCTTTGTGTGTTAAATATAATATTAATTAAGTAAATACATTTAAACTATTTTCTATAGACTCTTCCAAGTATCCGGATGATGGACTTGTTTGTGGTACAAATTCAACAAGAATCCCTTCATTTCGATACTGAATATAATACATCAATTTATAATACATCATTCAACATTTTTTTTGAACATTACAGTTACATTAAAGGTATGATAATATAAATAAAAATTGATTATGAATAAATTTTTGAAAATAAATTCTTAAAAAACAAATAGAATAACTGATAAAAATTTTAATTTTATATACAGGGTGTCAGAAACAGCAGTGATTGGGGAGGGGAAGAGCCTTCGCCGCGCGCCTACACACTCATCGCTCCTCCCCTCCCCAATCTCCGTTTCGCCGCGTGTCGCTATTATGTTAAAGTGAGACCGTCTTCACCGCCACGCACTTCTAACCACACGCATTGGCCGATCTTCTTTAATTAATTTTTCGTTAATTATTGCAAATGTCGCAAAATAGTATAGTACCTTCTTAATTTGCGCTAATCTACCTGCACACTTCGGGACTACAAAAACGGGTCTTGACACCCTGTATAATCTCTTCATTATACACATGCACACATATATACATACGTAATGAAGCTGTAGTATATAAAATTATATATAAAATATATTACATGTACAAGATGTTTCTTTATACGTGATACAGTCGATTATCTCGCGAACCAATGATTTTATTGAAAAATTTTTCGAACGAAAGTTGCGTAGCTTGAAGGGGTACACATGAAGAAAATATGAACTTGACCTTGTCAAAGTCAGGTCAAGGTCATTAATGATTTTTTAAATAAAAATCTTTACTTTTTTTATAACATATTCTCATATTTTATTACATATTTTTTATTACTTATTACATATGTAGACTACCTCGAGAGCTTTTCAAAACGCTATAATAAAGAATTTTTCATTGAGTACTTTTCAAGTTATGTCTTAATTTTACACAAGCTATAAAATATCTAGTAAAATATTCATTTTTCGATTATCTAACCTTAATACTTCTATGTACAAAATAATGAGACGAATCAATTGATGTAAAGAAAAATAATTCCCAAAAACTTACCTTTTTAAAAAAAGGTAAAAAAGGGCGCCAAGTTTATGCATTAATTGTATCCAACTGTCATATTGTCTACAAAAATAGTGATATAAAAAAATTATGCCAACTAAGAATAAAAATTTGTACAAGATAAATAATAAAAAAAATTTTAATTAAAAAAACTTGGCGCTGCCAATTTTATTAATATATTGTTCAGCTTAAAAGTCTAAATTTACAAATCCAGAAGATCTTAAGAGAATTAATAATAAATGTCCAGCACTTATATTTGCTGTTAAACATATATTTAATTGGAATATATGCCAATTTTATTGGCAGCGCCAAGTTTTTTTAATTAAAATTTTTTTTACTATTTATTTTGTACAAATTTTTATTCTTAGTTGGCGCAATTTTTTTATATCACTATTTTTGTAGACAATATGACAGTTGGATACAATTAGTACATGAACTTGGCGCCCTTTTTTTTACCTTTTTTCTAAAAAGGTAAGTTTTTGGGGATTATATCACTTCTTTTTTTAATCTAATTTGCTAAGAGATATTATATTTAAAAAAGTATGTATATATATATATATATATATATATATATACAGGGTGTTGAAAAATTAAGTGCCATAAATTTGTGTGATGAAAAAAGGAATCAATATAAGCATTTTAAGTATAGGAACCGTGGGTCGGCGACGCTTAGTTACGGCGTGACAAGGGTTTAATTAAATTGTCACAATGTCTGCAATACAATGATTTTATTCGGTTAATTTTAGATGTTTATAATAAATGTTCGAAATTACGACCGCCAACGTTCCGACAAAAATCAGAACGACGGAGCAATGATTCCCACGTTTTTTGGAATATTCCAGGAGTTTGTCGGATAGTTTCAGACGCCTCAACGATACGAGCGACCAGATCCTCCTCGGATTCAACCGGTTCAGAATAAATCATATTTTTCGTTGCACCCCAGAAGTAGAAATCGAGATTTTAGATGTTTATTATAAACATCTAAAATTAACCGAATAAAATCATTGTATTGCAGACATTGTGACAATTTAATTAAACCCTTGTCACGCCGTAACTAAGCGTCGCCGACCCACGGTTCCTATACTTAAAATGCTTATATTGATTCCTTCTTTCATCACACAAATTTATGGCACTTAATTTTTCAACACCCTGTATATACACGGTAGGCCATTTTAATCGATGCACTCGAATATCTCGAAAACAGCACTCTTCAGAAAGAAATGTTTCAAACAAAAATTGTAGGGTGTGAAGGGGGACATAAGATGGTAGCATTGGTTTGACCTTGGAAAGTCATTTGAAGGTCACATAAAAGTCACCTTCAATTTCTTAAATTGAACCCACTATTTTTCATTACATATTCTTGTAGCTTATCTCGAGAGCTTTCCAAAACACTACAGACAAATGTTTTTTCATTAAGTACTTTTTGAGTTATAAGGCTCCAAAGTTTGCAGTACTTCGATATAAAATGCAAAATATCTCGTAAAATATTTAGTTTTCGGTAGTCTTACCCTAATACTTTTATGCACAGGATAATGAGACAAAACTATTGGTGCAAAGAAAACGTATGGTTGTTTATAATAAAAAATGTGTAATTTGCAATGCACTTTTTGTTATAAACAATCATGCGTTTTCTTTGCACCAATAGTTTTGTCTCATTATCCTGTGCATAAAAGTATTAGGGTAAGACTACCGAAAACTAAATATTTTACGAGATATTTTGCATTTTATATCGAAGTACTGCAAACTTTGAAGCCTTATAACTCAAAAAGTACTTAATGAAAAAACATTTGTCTGTAGTGTTTTGGAAAGCTCTCGAGATAAGCTACAAGAATATGTAATGAAAAATAGTGGGTTCAATTTAAGAAATTGAAGGTGACTTTTATGTGACCTTCAAATGACTTTCCAAGGTCAAACCAATGCTACCATCTTATGTCCCCCTTCACACCCTACAATTTTTGTTTGAAACATTTCTTTCTGAAGAGTGCTGTTTTCGAGATATTCGAGTGCATCGATTAAAATGGCCCACCGTGTATATATATATATATATATATATATATATATATATATATATATGTATACTCTTTTAATATACAGGGTGACCCATTTTAACTTAGGCAGCCAAATAACTCGAAAAATAAGCACACTACGAAAAAATGGTTACAATCAAAATTTCGTCATTTCGAGAGGGACGTACAATGACGTTAAAATCAGCCCCCCCACCCCTTCCCCTGGGCGGTGAGGGGGGGCAAGTTTGAAATCTTAAATGGAACCCCCTATTTTTCATTGCATATTCTTGTAGCTTATCTCGAGAGCTTTCTAAGACACTGTAATTAAGTACCTTTTTATTAAGTACTTTTTGAGTTATGAGGCTTGAAATCATTTTTTAATTTTACATAAACCATAAAATATCTAGTAAACCATTCATTTTTCGATTATCTTACCTTCATACTTTTATGTACAAAATAATGAGAGGAATCAATTGGTGTAAAGAAAACATACAGTTGTTTTTAAGAAAAAATATGGAATTGTTAATTGCAAATTACATATTTTTTCTTAGAAACAACTATGTGTTTTCTTTACACCAATTGATTCCTCTTATTATTTTGTACATAAAAGTATGAAGGTAAGATAATCGAAAAATGAATGGTTTACTAGATATTTTATGGTTTATGTAAAATTAAGAAATTATTTCAAGCCTTATAACTCAAAAAGTACTTAATAAAAAGGTACTTAATTATAGTGTTTTGGAAAGCTCTCGAGATAAGCTACAAGAATATGCAATGAAAAATAGGGGGTTCCATTTAAGATTTCAAACTTGCCCCCCCTCACCGCCCAGGGGGAGGGGTGGGGGGCTGATTTTAACGTCATTGTACGTCCCCCTCGAAATGACGAAATTTTGATTCTAACCATTTTTTCGTAGTGTGCTTATTTTACGAGTTATTTGGCTGCCTAAGTTAAAATGGGTCACCCTGTATAAGCAAATTATATAAAAATATATATAGAATAAGTATATATAATATTACATTATATATATATATATATATATATAATTAATATATTATATATATTTATATTTAGTTTGTAAAATAGATATATATATTTATTTACCTTGCTCCAATTATCATACCGTACTGGCTTTTGCCAATTTTTAATTAATAATTTAATTATTTATTATTTATAACTTGCACTTTATCACTACTCAAAATGTGGTTAATGATAAATGTCACTAATGACACATATGACATATGTCATTAATATCGAAAAGCGTCGCTAGCGCAATCTTCTGTCGAGAGTAGGAAAAGGACGTTTTCTCTTTTTATGTGTTGTGTACATGTGCGTTGATGACGACCATGATGATGATAAAGACGTTTCTTAATTGAAAATTTTCATATTTCGACTTTGCATTATGATATCTCCGTTAATAGATCACGCAGCGCAAAAATAAAGATACTTTCTTTATACAATTCAAACTCGCTCTATCGATTAAGGTTAGTAAGAATTCGATCCGTTCAGTCGTTATTGAAATCCGATAATCTAAATTATTTTCAACTGTCCGACTCGCGTATAGATACACGGAGTGCCGCGCAATGCTTCGCATGAACTTGGCGCGAGACATTACCGTGTCTCTTGATCATAGTTGTTTTAAAAAAAGAATATGTAATTGTTAATTGCAAATTACATATTTTTCTTAGACACAACTATGTGTTTTCTTTAGATGAATTGATTCGTCTCATTATTTTGTACATAAAAGTATTATGATAAAGAAATTGAGAAATGAATATTTTACTAGATATTTTATAGATCAATTCGAAAATCACTCAATAAAAAATTACTTTTTTATAGCGTTTTGAAAAGCTCTTGAGATAAGTTATAAGACTAAGCAATAAAAATGGGCATTTATTTAAAAAATTAAAAAATTAAAGGTAACCTTCATGTGATCTTCAAACAATTATCCAAAGTCAAATAGCACCATCTTATGTTTTCCTTCGAATCAATTAACTTTTGTCTGAAACATTTTTCTCTAAAATTATTGATTTACGAGATATATCACTGGAAAATGAGACATCCTGCGTAGACGAAACTCTCAGCGAGGATAAAGATTAGATGTAGAATGAACTTCGCTTTGTCTTACAAAATACACTTCGTGGACACAATGAGTTCCATCTCCCTCCCCCTCATTCCTTACGGCAGGATCTACTTCCAGAATGTACAACATAATGCAAACATATTTTTTTAAATATAAAATTTTGTTTGGATTACATTATATAGTACAAAGAGCATCTTATTGTAAATTAGTAGAATGTAAGCAAAACCTCATACATAATGCTTTTAATATCATATTAGTTTATAATTAATGTGTTTAATATCAATTTGCTTAAGAAAAGTATTAAAATTGTTATACTTTAACTTGTTATATCTTTTAAACCAATGTCGCCTCTCATTTACTTTTTTGCGCGGAATTACTCAGGAAATCTTCCTCTATGACATATTCAAATGATGTTAAAATCGGTGATGTGTAACGTTTTATGCA